AATTAATTGAACAGATAAAAAAAAAAATTAAAATTAAATTGTTGAACAATGTAATTGCAAAAATGTTTATAATTTAAAATATAACTTTTTAAATTACAAAGTAATTATATAAACAACTTTATTAGAATATAAAAAGAAAATATATTAAATAAAATTAAAGATGTTTTAAAAAAAAATAAACAAAAAAAAAATTTTTTTTAAATATTTTATTTCGTTTAATTTGATTGGTTGACCTGAATTTTATCAGATCAGATCATAAGCTTGACCCAACCTAATGTTGACCTGAAAATTTGTCTACCTGACCTGGATTTTTCAGGTTGGGTTGAATCACAGGTTGACCTGACCTGATTCAGAGCTATAGTCAGAAATCTTTGACTAACTGATATGTTATATTGACCGGTTGACTGACCTATATAATAATAATATAATTTAAAGTTTTTGATCATTAGTTTTAATTTAAATAATACTAACATAGTATTTGCTAAAACTTCAAATTTTTATATATTTTATTTATTTCTTTTAGACTAACTCAATATGCATATTAAAAATTATATAATTAAAATAATTGTTAATTAAATGCAAAAAATTCTTGAATTACTAATTAAAAATATTTGGTCAACCAATCAGTTAAAATCAGTTAAAATCAGTCAGTCAACTAATCAGTCAGTAACTTTTGATCAACCAATATCAGTTATGGTTATGATCAATCATGTCTGTAATTATTAGTATAATATTACATAAAGTATCAATATTACGTAAAGTATCAGAAGTATTAGAAGTATCAGTGTTATATGCTAGAATTTCCTGCCATTAAAAAATAAATCTTGAAAAATTCATCCATTCATCCATTAGGAAGTTCAGTATATAAATTATATATGCTTTTGATTTCTTTATTCTAATTATTATTTTGGTTATCTAAGCTAATATCAGAAGGATATTTCTACTCTTGTCAGATTTGATATACATTTCATAATGATATTTTGTATTTTTTAGCTATGATCTCTAATGTTTACTTTACCAAATTTTTGGCTTTAATAATATCTTGAATGTCTTTATAAGATAGAGGGGTTGCATTAAATCTTAGATATTTATGTATAGTTCTTTTTATTAGTATTGCTTATATTTAATTATTTTAATTTTTACTGTATTAGCAACTAAGCCAAAAAAAAGACTATAACTAATGTATATACCTTGAAAAATATCAACAATAAAGGTCATTGGCTTGGTAGTACTTATGAGCAAAAGCTCAAAAAATAATTATATTCTATACTTAATCTAAAAGTGAAATTAATGATTTTAGTAAAAAGTTGCTAATTAAGTATTCGGAGTAAGAGAAAGGGTTTCAGAAAATTAATTCTAATATCAGAAATAAGATTAATCAGATGAATATGTTCAATACTAAGCTTAGTTTTCAATTTACTTCTGAATGGATAACCTATACTGAGATTGAAACCAAAACAAATCAAAGATTAGAATACTGAAAAGAGAAGTGACTTTAACCTAGAAAGCTTTATCCTTTGAAAAGATTTCTCTTAAAGCTAAGGTATTTGAATTGAAAGGTAAGTTAAATGATCTGGAGTTAGAATAGGTGTTCTATAATCCAAATATAATAGGAGAGGTAATAGAATAACCAGTCCAAATAAACTGATCTGAAAAAAATTCTCTCAGACAAGTTTGTATAGTAGTTTACAATTAAATTCTAGATGAAAAATATATATAAAAAAAAATAAATTATGTTTTATATTGAATTCATTATATTACTTAAAATTTGCGAAAGAATTAATTTACAATTTAAGCAAAAGGTTATTTTATTTATATATCTGATTCTGTCACCTGAATGATATATTTAAAATCAATTTCTTCAAAATAATAAGTATCAATAAGTATCAAAAAATGCTATATCTTCTTTATTGTTAGATATAAGCAAATACTTAAAATACGTGTGATTAACATAGCCAGGCTCAAAATTAAGATCTCTATACTTGAAAAAAAGCCTTATTATTTTATTTATTTCTTCAAAATTGGATTTAAAATTTTTTTTGCGTAAATAGCATGGTAGTATATGCAAAAAGCAATATAAAATTACATAGAAATTTGTAATCTTTAAAAGAAATAATATAATGTATATATATATATATATCTTAGAAATGAAATAAAAATGCATAAAGCTATTTTGGCTTCTAATCCAATTACTAATGCGAGTATATAATAAATATATTATAATATTTTAAAGCAAATGATATAATAATATTTTAAAGTAGCAACTATACAAAAAAGAGTTTTAAAAAGATAGAGGCAAAAACTAGGATAATATTTGATAGATTACTCAAGCAGATTATATATAAAAAAGAAAAGAAAAATTATACTCAAATAGCCTACTAGTGATAGGTAAGAAAGAGGTTAGAAAGACAGAAAGAAAAACTTAGGAGAATATAAGAAAAAAGATTATGAAAGCTATGAAACCTGAATTGATTCAGCACTTCATGTCTTATCTGATAATTAAAAAATAAAAATATATAAATAATAAGTTTAACACTTTGTGTCTCAATCTGATAATTGAATAAATCAAATATGACAGAATTACAAATACATATCTTTAACAATTAAGAGAGAAATAAATATAGATTACAAGCTCAGCACTTCATGTCTCAATCTAGTAATTAAGAAATAATAATCAAAAAGGAAAATATATGAATTGCAAAATCAGCATTTCATGTTTCAACTTGGCAATCAAATAAAAATATAAAGGTAAAATTGCAAGTAAATTTAGCATCTAAGCTGGTATAAAAGTAATTTAAAACTGGCAAATTAATAGATTTATTTTAGTTTTTTGCTAATTTTTCACTAGCTCTATAATACTACCATAACGTTGAGTTGGATCCTCAAATCACATACTCTAAAATTAGCCAAAATTATGCTATAAAGCTGGCTAAAATTAACTGAAATTTAATAATGAATTTATTATATCACTTGATGCGTTTTTTTATACTACCTCAATATCTTGAAAGGTTACCAAACAGGCATAAAAGGAAAGCACTCTTAACATCTTAATAGACCACCAAACAGACCCAGAAGTAAATAAACAAATGGATTATTTCTTAACAATAATAAAGCTATAAAAACACATAAACAGATAGGAAATTCCTTAATAATAAAAGGCTAAAGACAATAAAAAAAATTATAACTATTAGATCATAAAATCACCGTTAGATTAAAGAATTACATTTATTATTAGATTATGAAATTACTATTATAATATATCAAGAATTAACTAAAATAACAATTAGAAAGCTGAAAAAGTATTCAAAAAATTATTATTAGATTATGTACTTAGGTTACAAAGTTATTATTAAATATGTATTTAGATTATGAAGTTGTCAATAGATCATTAAGATAACCTAATGCAAGTTACTAGTAATTTTTTAATATAATTATATTAAAGAGTTATTGGGAACTATATCTTATTTATAATATTATAATTTTAAATCTATTATAAAATATTATTTTTTTTTAATAATAAAACTGTTTTAAAATTTGAGAGTAAATTATTTAAAGTATTATATTATATTATATATATATAGAAGGATTTCTAAAAAAAAAATGTTATTCTAAATGAAATATAGTTTCAAAACTTTTTCTTTCATATAAAACTAAAACTAATATTAAAAAAAAATTTTTTTATAAAAACAAATTTAAGTAAATAATTTGTTTACAAGTTTTATAATTTAATAAATTAATTAAAAAATATAATTTAAAATTTTAAAACAAAATAATATTACTTATTTTTATATATATATATATATATTTTTAATTATTAAATTAATTTATATTTATATAAAAATTTTAAAGTATTTTATTATTAAATTTATTATTATTATTGATAATATGAGACATTTGCAATAAAAAGGCCGGAAAAATCAAAAATGAGTTAATGCTAAATTTCGGCCTAAAAATCATACTTGGCATATAAAAGTAAAATTAATTTTTCCCGGCAGTTTCCCCCCTTTCTATTCAATGGTCCCATATAATCTATAAATATAATCTAAATATAGATTTATAATTGATTATTATAAATAAATATAGTCTTTATAATATAAATAAAATTGTTAATAAATTCAAACTAAAATTATATATAATATATTACTTTATTTTAGTAATTTTTCTTTTATTATAAAAATTTATAAGATTATAAATAATGAAATAAAAACGTTAATTTTAATAATAACAGATAATTATAAAATAAAAAAAAACTGACAAAAATTAATTAAATTAATTTCAATCAAGAAAACTAGAATGTAAACCGGTTAGGCGAAAAGTGCTTTAAATGGGAAGATTGCTAGGAAATCAGATTCTGAGAATATTTTAACTAAAATTAAAGATCTTATTATCAATAAGAAATCTTAATTTTCTGCTGCCTTGCTGATTATGGAAAGTAGATAACCTCATCAGGTTGGTGAAGCGAATATGCAATGTAATGCCAAATAAAAACTTGACAATAAAGCGAAACAAATGTTTAAAAAATGTAAAATTGTAATGTAATATCTGTATATTTGTGGCGTAGAATATATGTATGCAACATATCAATCGGAGTATGAACAGCGATTCATTGGTTCGAATTCCTAAAAATACACAACTACAATTTTAAGATATATATATAATTCAATTCTTCCACTTTAACTATCAAATCCCTTTTAAAAGATTCATTTTTTCTTCCAACTGAAAAGTTATTTATTTATTCATTTATATATTTGAAATGGTTGTGAATTTACCTATTGAAATTATTTCTAAAATATTTGACTATTTTCCAACGAGATTATTATGCAAATATTTTATCGTTTCACGTAAATTCAACAGCGAGATAAAAAAAATAATTGCGCAAAGGTTTAATAATGTTTTTTCAAATTCTGATAAACGGTTGTTGGTGAGTACATGCTAAAGGTGATATCATGAGTTTTATCAGATTATTCAGGAATTAAAATTTTTTATTTATTTAGGTATATATGTCAAGATACGATTTGGTTGAATTATCACAAGTTTATTACGCATTTGATTTGGGTTTTAAATCTTTAAACTCAGAAACGTTAATATCAATATTTACGTCAGCTGACCAATCATTCCAAAAGGATTCTTTTTCAATATTAAAATTACGTGGCGGAGGGTCATTTAATAATAAACCATTAAATTCACAGATAACATATTTGGGTTGGGGAGCAACATCGGAAGAAAAAGAAGCAAGAATTTACGTTTATGATTCAGATATTTCTAACTCAAATCATATTTCCCCATGTTATTATGTAATTCATGGGAGGTTATTAACACCTATAGATGGATGTAAATTAAATAAAGGGTGGTGGAGTGCACCTCTTTTACACAAAAAAAAAAAAAAGATGTCGAAAGTAGGATTTCTTGGTAAAAATGAACTATATGATAACGTATGCATTCCTTACGTACTTGGCGATTTGAAATCCGTTTCCATTAAAGCTGATGTATTATTGGTTGCTTACGAAGAAAAGAAAAGAGATAAATCTATTACGGGTGTAAAATATTTGGTAACGTCCGGCGGTGAAAAACATTTAAAGCAAAAGAAAGGTTGTGTGATTTCTTAGACATATTGTTTTATTTATTATTTAGAATTGTTTATTCGTTTAATTACAATGATTTGATTAATTTGTTATCCAATTTTGTGAATTCGGCCGTAAAAAAAAAAAGTTTGTAAATTAAAAACAAAACTCAACCAATCAAACAATTATCTGTTTTAATCTATAATTTAAACTTTATTTATATATTTAAGATACTGAATAAATCAAAAAAATATTTTTTGCGTAATAAACAATCAACATGAATATTATTTCTATTTCTATTTGTGTCTCAAAAAAGTGAAAAAAAAATTGCTTAAATTGACATGCAAGGACCAATCAGTTTATATTGTGTGAAGCCTTTGTTTTTGTTTTTTTTTTATATGGTAAAAAATGATTTTTTTTTATCGAGAATAATTGTTCAACAATTATATATCAATCGAGAATAATATAAATCAGAATCCAATTAAAGTTGTAAGAAATGTCGCGGCAACAGCCATCAAAGACCATTGAATGGACAAAGAAGCGGCAGAAGAACCTCCATAACCGGTTGAACCATGTTTATCATCGTGATCATTGTGACCATCACCTTCAACGTGATCATCGTGATCACGTTTAAAAACAGGAACATTTTCGATTGGATAACTTAATGAATGTTTTTCTTCTGCTTGAACAAAAGATAATGTAATTGTGAATAAGAGAACACAAACGAAAAGTGTAAGGGTTGATGAACGCATGTTGGAATTCTAGTGGGTAAAATGATTAAGTTTTATAAGTTTTGATTGTTTTGATTGATTGTAAAATTTTATTTTTTTTTCGGTCTGGAAGAAAAGTAAGTGAGAGTATTTATATCATTTCTTTCAAAAGAAAGTGAAACAACTTGAATTATTGCTAATGATGCATGGTAACATTAATAATAATTTAATGTCTCCTTTAGTTTTAGGTTTCCTGAGACTCTTATGAAACTAGGAGGTGTTAAATAGAACTTGATAAGTTAGTGATTTACGTTTTTGTCAATCAATTGACCTATCAGAAGTTCTGTTCATTTAATAAAAATATTTCTTTTGAGAAAACATTTCATTTATTTATTGACTTATACGTAAAAATAATAAATTTTTTTTAATCCGCTGCATAAATCATAAAAGAATGAAACATTTTTCCGATAAAAGCTGCCTAATAAATGTCACAAATGTTTTAATTAATACGCAAATAATTTCAATTCGTTAATATTTACATTCAAACGGTAAATCGGTTAAACGTTCGAATAAAGTGTAACAAGCATAATCATATAAACGAGATCAAATATGTTTGTTTTCAAAAGAAAACCCATGATACATACACTAGCTTGATTTCTGAACTAAGAAATAGAAAAATTCAACTTGAGATTCAAAATTCGAAAGATACAAATATCGCAAGATATTTTAAAATTTTTTTTCATATAATAAATATTCATCACACTCTTTGGAGAAAAGGATTGATTTAAATGAATCCTTTATTCCTTCACAGAAAAATATTTATAAAAAAATTTTTCGGCTAACATTACATAAAGGTAAACAAAAAAAAAATCCTTTTGTCTTTATGCGATTTAATCTTCCTTAAAAATCACAATTTCTTCTATTGAAAGCATTATTGTTGATATTAAATGAGTTTTACCTGGACATCCGCTACGAAAAGTTCCGAATTTAAAAATGTTACCGGGTATCAAAAAAAACCTTATTGGAATCGAATCATAAATATTTTTTTCATTTCACAAGAAATATAGAAATGCTTTTTAAAGCCATAAGCAGTGATTTTTCTCTTGGAAGATTGGAAGCACTATTGGAAGCACCTTTGGAAGGTTTGGAAGCATAATTTTCTAATAAATCATTTGCATTGGAAGCTTCCAATCAAATTTTATACTATTATTGTAAGCATAAATGCACATCACTGGTCATAAGGTAGAGAATTTGGTAATAAGCATCAACATTTTTTAAAAAGGTTGAATCATGAGGTGCGTTACTGTTGTTACAGTTCCAAATTCAAAAAATTCTTAATTCCATTTTTTATGGTCTTTCCAAAGAATAACATTTAAATAAGATAAGAAAGTTTATTTCATTCTAAATAAGTACGGAAAATCTTATATGCATTACTTGACTGATAAATGTGGGCCCGGGATGGTTACCCGAAACGAAAATCAAGTTTTCTGTTTCAATGTTAATTTGGATTAATAAGCCGATGTAACATGAAGAATTTGTTATTAGGAAAATCAATATACTTGTGTTCCAATAATAAAATTTGTTGCAACTGACTAAGCAAATATCATGCATAATAAAATTGCTATTCCAAATAAATATACTATCATTTAAGCTGAGTAATTTTGGCCGAAATTATGAACACTCGGCCGGCATTAAAAAATTAACTATATGAGAGGAAAGTGGAATGGGACTCTGAGCATTTTTTATTAAAATTTTAATTTTTATTGCATTTTAATTTTTGATAAGTTAGATTAAAATGCAGTAAAAATTAAATTTTTAATAAAAAATGCTCAGAGCTCCATTTTTCTAGCAAACCTTTCATATAATAAATAAATAAAAAATGACAAATAGGATTTTATATATCAAATTATATTCAAATCTTTTTTTTTTTATAAATAAACATTGTATTATTATTCTTATTATTCTTACAAATTTATAATTAAGAGATAATATTATTTAATATAATATTTTTTTTAAAAAAAAATAGTAATTCTATAATAATTAGTTAATTTAAATTATACTTAATAAACTTTAATATTCTTATAAATTCTAAAAAGTTTATTATAAATTAATCATGAAATTTTTTCATATAAATTTTTTTTAAAATTTACAAATTTTTAGCTTCTAAAGTAACATTAAAATTTTATTATATAATTAAAAAATAAAACTTACTTTAATATATTACATATTTATAAAATTAATTTAAAAAACTTTTTTTTGCAGATTAATAATACTAAGTATAGTCAATAATACAAAGCAAAATAACATTAAGTACAGTTAATAATACAAAGCAAATTGATAATATTAAATAAGTTGTTTTATATAAGATAATTTAACAAAAAGTTTTATTATTTTTATAAAATTAATTTCCTAAATTTTAATTGATATATTGGGCCTTTGCAATAGAAAGGGGGGAAACAGTCGAAAAAATAAAAAGTGAGTTAATATTAAATTTGAACATATTTCAGCATAAAAATCATATTTGGCATATAAAGTAAAATTAATTTTTTCCGGCAGTTTCCCCCCTTTCTATTGCAAAGGCCTCATATCATTGTAAAAATTAAAAATTTTTTATATTTGACTCAATTTAATTTAATTTAATTTGATCTGATTTGATTTGATTTAATTTGACAAATATTTGATTCAATTTAACTTGATTCAATCAAATTCAAATCGATTCAAATTAATTTGATCAAATATTTGAGTTCAATTTGATTCAATTCGATTCAATTTGAAAAAATCAAATCAAATTTAAATTGCTTAAATATTTAATTCGATTCAATTTTGAGGAACTCTAATAGATACATTGCATTACCAGAAGCTTTTAGTAAAGCTAAGTCAAATAAATAATTACAGAAAAATCACTTCTATAGCTTATGTATCTTTGTTCAACTCATATTATCATACAAATAGAATGAAAATATGAAACCTTCTGGATACTTATGCTTTTAAATGTAATATAGTATTTAGCACAAGAGTATGTGAAAATATAAAAAAAGAAAAATATTCTGATGCATACATATTTTCATCTAAAAAGTAAATTAAAATAAGAAAACTTGTAATAGGATTGGATTTGCTTCATTATATCTCAGTCTCATTATGACTTATAATCTCTCTCCAGAAAGGCTGATATTATACAAAATAATAGAAGCAACTTGCATAAGATTGAGTTTCCATTTAATAATCATATTGTTTAAACTTGAAATGTAAGATATGATAATCAATTTGAAAAGAAGGGTTTATATCCTATTGTATTAGAGAATTTATTCAATAGGAGAGTAGAGCTTAAAGCATATTTTGTCTCATAGAAAAGAAGAAGCAACAACTTGAGAAGATGATAAGTTTAGCTAAAAAAAAAGCAAAAGATTTCTGTAGAGCTTAAATTCAGAATATTCATCTGTATACTTCGATTATGATTATTTAGATTTGAAACAAAGAGCTTTAAAGGTATATATATAAACACTTTTTATAAGAAAGCAAAAAACTCAAAATCTTCAATCTTTTTTCATGAATTAGCTGAAAGAACTATTTCAGCAGAAAAAAATAACCTTAATCTTATTGCAGAATTTGTAACAAAGAAAAAATTTAGGATAAAATACGGTGATGCTGATTCTTTATATCTCACCTGCTTAGATAAGTATTATGAAAAATGTGATAAAACCTTCTTTAAAAAAGAATTTTCTAAAGAAGTGTATTAGACCTAAATAGTCAAAATTACTATGAATGCAATGAAAAGCTTGTGTGATCAAGTAAATGCTTATCTTATAATAAAAAATGACACATTTGATCTTAAAATAGCATATAAAGAGGTATTATTTCCCATTTATTTCACCGGCAAGAAAAATATTTCAGTATACCAGAAGGGGTGATCAATTTTGGGCTAGATAATCTCTTTATGAGAGAAATTGATACTGTAAAGTAAGAAAATTCTGAGCTCTTTAGGTTTATTGAAAAAGATTATGTGAAAGGTTATAAGTATTAATAACTTATATTTAATTCATAAAATTGTTGAAAACGCTTTCTAAGATGTTAGTTTTAAGTAGTAGAATTATTGTAATATCTAAATGAAAGGCTAAGGAAGGCCTCACATGCAATCTAATTTTTATAAAATAAATGAAAGAAAGAATAGCAAGCAGAGAAAAAAATAAAGATCTCTGATTCTGATGAATGCTTTAGTTATATCATAGTAAATGACAGTCCTCATTATAAAGAAGATGGTTTAAAATCAATAAGAAAAGGTGATTATATGGAATATCCAAAAATTGCAAAAGAGTTTAATGTAAAGATAGATATCGATTTTGTATCTCATTTAAATTGGAAGCACATTCTAATCACATATCTTTTAGATTTGTAAAAAATGCATTAATACTAGCAGAAGTGATAGCTTGCATCTATATAGAAAGATTACCTACCTGATAAATGATTCTTAAGAAATCCTATAGTTTGTGTATTATTATCTGCTACACCTAATAATAAAGATCAGATTCTTTTTTATAAGTATCTGACGAGTCAGTAAGTAGAAATTTTTCTTAAGTTAATCTTTGAAGTGCTGATTACTGATTACTTACTATTTCTCGTTAATAATATAATCTCATCTAAGTACGTAGAGTAGCTGGAGAATTAATATTAGCATTTTTATTATATAGATCTTAAGCAGGAACTGATAAATATTTTCCTTCTATCTGAACTTTAAAAATATCACATTTAACAGCATCATCGAAATCTTTAGCATTTGCATTTTTAAGAACAATCATATGCTCTTGTGCAAATAATATTAATTGAATAAATCTATCTAAATAATTATTAAAAGATTCTTGACTTATATAGGGCTTAGTTTTTGTAAGAACCAATATAATCATAATTAATACTGGTAAACATCTAGCATCTATCATATTTCCTAATAGGTTATTCTAAAGCGTCAAAATTTATCCCTGCAAATTTAAAATATTCTGATCTCTTTGCCTAATCATTAGTTAAAAAACAAAACTTTTTACATATCAATT